TTTCATGTTGCTGCTGATCTGTTTCATGTTGCTGCTGATCTGTTTCATGTTGCCGCTGATCCGTTTCATATTGCTGTTGATCTGTTTCATGTTGCTGCTGACCTGTTTCATGTTGCTGCTGATCTATTTCATGTTGCTGCTGATCTGTTTCATGTTGCTGCTGATCTGTTTCATGTTGCTGCTGATCCATTTCAAATTGCTGCTGATCTGTTCCATATTGCTGCTGATCTGTTTCATGTTGCTGTGTTCATTCGTGCTTGTCTGCTTGCGCAGACTCATGTTCATGCTGCTGTTCGACGTAATGTTTTTATGCTATTAGTGCTTAGTGTATATTTAGTTAATGTTTTTCTTAGTTCAAATCTTATTGCTGTTTTTCTTTTACATTTTATTGTTGGATGTAACTGGGACCCTGCGTACATAATCTCATTCCACCACATGAGGTACGAGCGACAATAAAGAAATTGACTCTCTTTAGAAAACTTTCTAAAGCTACACTCATTTAAAGAAGCACAAAGACTACGTAACTATTGCTGGAAAATAAAACACTTTTATCATCTTTAAATTTAACACCAACAAAATGTATTCAACAAGTTTGAACACAAGCAGCTACAAGAAAAAAAAAGATTTTTCTAAAACGGTTAACTGGCGGCATACTGTTGTAAAACAAGTTTCTCTGAGGGACTTCAAAAAGTTAAAGTAGGTTCTTTCACCGAACAGCTCCATGAAACGGCCACAAAGACCAGTCCATTTTTATGTTGGTCATTCCAAACTATCGCAGGTGAAACTGGCCTCATCCCACTCAGACAAGAGCTTTCATCAAAGAAGCATCGTGGAACCAAAAGAGGCGCAGAGAAGAACTCAGATGCACGGACTTGAAGATTAATGTGTGATGGACGTTTCCCTCGTATCGTTTCCAAAACATTACAAGTTACGTCAGTTTAGTGATTTTCTGTGGTGAACTATCTGTTTTTTTTTAATAAATGCAAAGTTGCTTTGCGTCATCATCAATCTTTCCTCAGTAATACATCTGTTTATTGTTGTTTTGTCCCACAGCTGGGCGGTCCAACATACCATATCACTTCATCACATTTATGAGCTGCGACACCAGCTTACCTGTTCACATGTCGACCATTTGGGCTCTGTTACTACATCACTTCACGGCACAAAGATGCATCAGGGGCACGTTGGCTTTAACGCTCCACCGCCTGTCCATTCAGAAATCACATGGAGGCAGCCAGCCAGCTTGAGACGTCTTGTGAAAGAGCCTAGAGTCAACGGATCAAGACGCATGTGAACTTCACGAACAGTCAACTCATTTGTTAACGCAGCAACAAACGTAGGTTCAGATCTAACATGAAAAAATAAAATAAAGCGTCAGGTTTGTTCTTAGAGAAAGAAAATTGTTCCAAATGAAAGTGACAGTCATGTGATCAAACCCATAAAAATGTAAATACTTTTCGAAATTAAAGGCTTGGCATTCCTTGAAGGAACGCAGACTGCACACTGAAAACAAAATCATGGGACATTTAGTGTGACGTGCTAACTCTCAGATAAAGTGTTGAGGACCATTCTCAGCTACTACCACAAAAATATTTAGCTTCAAAGCTGTCAGAGTCACTTTTGTGTTTTTCTAAGAGCTGTGGCAGCCATCTTGCATTGGGTTGACTGCAAGAGGACCAAATGATTAGTTTTGTATGTTTCATTACATCCACCCTATGGTTCATGAAATATTTTACTAATGTTGCTGAAAAAGTGATTTTTTTTAGGGAAGAAAATAAAGTGAGTAAAAAACACAACTTGTGTTTTAAACTTATTATTGCCATCAGGGCTGGTTACCAGAAAGAAAGACATCAAGATATGTGTTGAGTTTTAATGAAGGACTTCATGAGCAACAAAGTCAAAACATCGGCGTCAAGTCTGAGGCTGAACTCCATAAACAAATCACTGCAATTATTTTCTAAAACAGCTAACAGACATGGCAAATGTTCAAAACCTGATCTACAACCATCAGTTAATGCTTGAAGTATTAGTTGGGGATGTGTCGCAGCTTCTACAGCACCAAATCTGAGCTCAGCGTGTGTAAAAACATCTGAGCTACAGCCATTACTTGTGCTGTCTAATGTTGCTTAGTTATAGCAGCCAACTTGAAAAAGGTTCAACTCCCAAAGTAATCAGCAATAGATCCAACGATTAGTTGATCTGAACTTTTGATAAACTGGGACCACGTTTCAAGGAAGAATAAGACAATAATCATCTTTCAGAGCTGCTGCTCTTGGTCTTCTCAGTAGAAATGAAGCTGCACTTGTAATAAAGTGGCGGAGCACAGGTGAGACATGCATCTGTTATAAACTGGATTAAACACCAAACTACATCTAAAAAGATACTAAAAACTATTCAGGTTTCACTCAAATAGTGAGTTTAAAAGGTTTGCAAATTCTCACTTTCTGGCTATTATTTGCATCGAACATTATATTCTGCTTGTACAGAAGAAGGGGTTTAAAAGCAGCTACGTCAGGATGATGCACCTGGACTGTGCAGGTGAGTATCAAACTTTTTGCCAGAGCAGCAGATTTGAGCTGCATGCCAAAAAGACAACTTGAGCTGATAGCTGGAGGTACTGCAAAAGGTTTGGTCTTAAATCACCTTAAAGGGACACATTTTTGGAGCACTTCCACATCCTTAGGGCAGGTAACACATAACTCTTTCACTGCAGCACTGGGTGGGGGAGAAAACCAGTGAGTTTTCACTGATCTTTCTAGTTTCCAGTGAAGAGATGATGGACACAAAACAGCTGCATGTCCTAACGATGCAATGTAGAAGAAAAATATTCATAATATAATAAAACATTCAAAATAGGGGGGGGGGGGGGGGGGGGCTAAAATGCCAATCGCAAAATGTTGGAACAGGTAAGTTACTTGACCTGACACGTTTACCTGACGTAACTTACCTGGTTAAGCTCATTGTGCTGCTGGAAGCAAACAAGAATAATCAAGTTAAAACATAAATATCAGCTAAACGAGTCTGGTTGATCCACGGAGGCACAAGCTTTTTATTAATCAGACTTATGTTGCTGCTTCAACACAACAAAAGCCGATTGCCCATTGCAGACAGGAAACCATCTAAAACCGTCAAATGTCGCTTTCAGTGATGATTACTTCCACATTTCCGCCGTATCGTGTCAATAAATCTTCCACGGTGTTCCCACATCTCGAACGGAGCTAACAGCTTAGCAAACCGATGAGCACCTAGCTACAAGAAGCCGCTAGCTGAAGGTTGCGTTGTCTGCTGGTTTAAGCTAACTTACCTTATGGCCTCGTCCTTTTATTAGACATAACCTCAGGTTTTTTGTAGAGTCCGGAAATGCGAAAAGCTACACAAAATAAACTGTCCGAGTGCTAAAACTCGCTGTCATTTTTTTATTTTTTATTTCTCATAAGCCTCCGTGGCTCTCTCTTGGCTCCGCCCTTTTCCTCTGCAAGCTCCGCCACCGTCCACATCCTCCTGCTGCACGGCCGCAGCTGGCCGCCAGGGGGCAGCATTTCACCGTAAACCTGCCACGTACACAAACGGTGATTCTATTTCCTCCTACAGCAGGACTAGTTGTTCAGGGGCCACTAGTTGCTGAAAGCTAAGAGCTCAGGGGCCGGACATCCAGCAGTTATTCTCATTTAGCAAGTTTGTTTTAAGATTTAAAACAGAGTTTTATTTTAAAATGAACCCATTGTTGGGCCAAATTGAGCTCACCTGTGGCCCTGATTTGGTCCCCGGACCTCTATTGAAAATCAGTCCTCATTATTCAATTAGAATTCCTGTATAAATAAAGGTTAAA